AATATAATTATATATTATATATAAAGCATTCACATAGAGTGTGCGTTGACAGTCCTGAGTCCGCATCCTAGTTCTGCTGCTCATCATTTGTGTAGTATTAGATGTGCTATTTAATTTCTCTGTGCTTTAGTTTCCCAAACTGTAAAATGAGGATAAGGGTGGTTACTGCATAAGTCTGTTGTGAAGATTGAATATGCTGTACCCATAATACACAAAGACTCCTGGGCTGCTGTTAACACTCAGTATTATCTATATCAGCGGTTCCTATACCTGATCTCAGTAATTCATATGAAGCACTGTGAGAGAGGCTTAGAAAGTTTATATAATCAGCTCAAGATGACACAGCCAATAAGAGCAAAGTAGTTCTCATGCATCTCTTCTGTTATTTCAGAGATAGAGACACAGATAGTTGCTCAGTCAAGAAGACCAGACAGATGCCTGTCCTATGAATTTAGTCACACATTATTGATCTACTAGTTGCAATAAATAAATCCCTGCATAAAACACCAGGACAAAGTGAAATCTCACTATAGGTATTGGAGGAAAATATATATAGGCAGATCATGCCACTCAGAAGCAGGTACTAGATGATTCAATCAAAGCCATGACATTTTAAAATAGAAACAAGGTCGATTCAATCAACATTTATTGAGGTCCTATTCCAGAAGCCACTGGTGCTAGTGATAAAATACCTGGCCTCCTGGACCCAGTAATTTAATAGATGAGTCAAGAGGAGCCTGAGGAGGCAGGATGATTATATGTGATGTAGTAATATCCTGGAGGGAATCCTAGAGCAGAAAAAGAGCATTAGGGAAAAGTTAAGGAGATCTGATTAAAGCATGGACTTTAGTAAATAGCAGTGAATCAACAATCAGACTGTCATAATGTATGAAAATGGGTAAAGCTAGATGATGGGAATACAGAAGGTCATTATACTACTATCTTCCATGATATCTAAAAATGTTCATAACAGTCATCAATCTTAGAGACACACTCAAAATTGGGATCATCTGTACAAAAATAGCACAAATAATGCCTACATTTTTGAAGACCTCACTAAGCACATTAGTTTTGAGGGACTGGAGAAAATGATCTGGAATCTAGTTCTTTTGTTCACTTTTTTTCCTTTGGTCTTTTTTTGTTCTCTGCCATCTTCAAGAAGTCTACAGCTGGGTGCAGTGTCTCACACCTGTAATCCCAGCACTTTGGGAGGTAGAGGCAGGAGGACCACTTGAAGACAGAAGTTCAAGACTAGCCTGGGCAACACAGAGAGATTGTCTCTACAAAAAACTAAAATATTAGCCAGATGTGATGGCACATGCCTGTAGTCCTAGCTACTCGGGAGGCTGAGGCAGTAGGATCCCTTGAGCTATAGAGTTTGAGGCTGCAGTGCACCACTGCACTCCAGCCTGGGCAGCCAAGAAGACAGAAAGAAAGAAAGAAAGAGAGAGAGAGAGAGAGAGAAAGAGAGAGAGAGAGAAAGAGAAAGAAAGAGAGAGAGAGAGAAGGAAGAGGAAAGGAAAGGAATGGAAGGAAGGAAGGAGAAAGAAAGAGAGAGAGAGAAAGGAAGGAAGGAAGGAAGGAAGGAAGGAAGGAAGAAAGGAAGGAAGGAAGGAAGGAACGAGGAAGAGAAGGGAAGGAGGGAGGGAGGGAGGGAGGAAGGAAGGAAGGAAGAAAGAAAGGAAGGAAGGAAAAAGAAATCAAGGAAGGCTAATGGTGGTGGTTCACACCTTTAATTTCAGCACTTTGGGAGGCAGAGGTGGGAGAATCACTTGAGGCCAGGAGTTCAAGACCAACCTAGGAAATATGGCCAGCTCCTATCTCTACAAAATATAATAATAGATAAAAATTAGCCAAGTGTGGTGGTGTGCACATCTGGTCCCAGCTACAAAGGGAAGCTGGAGAGGGAGGATCCCTTGGGTACAGGAGTTCAAGGCTACAGTGAGCCACAACTGCACCATTGTACCTAGCCTGTGTGACAGAGCAAGATTCTATCTCAAAACAAAAATAAAACGGAAAGAATTCAAGGAAGCGCTGAAGCGGGATGGGAGCCCAGATGTCCCCTTTTTGAAACAGGGAGGAAAATCAAGGTTGAGCTCACTGCCCAGGACGAGTCCTAGGAGTCCTTCTCTTCCTCTCTCCATTCTCCACAGGCACTGCTCAGGCCTCAGACCGCTGCCCTTATCACTCAAGACACTGGTGATAGCATTGCTCCGAGACTCAGACTGCATGGACCAAAGCAGATGAAGAAATATGGGAGCTTATTAATGCTATATAATAAAACGAATAATGGGAAAATGGCAGAATGGAAAAATAGGAGCTTCTTCCACAGTGGATTTTGTAAGAATTACTAAATCCACTGTGGAAGAAATACCTGTTTAAATACCTGTTTCTAATCTATACATGGTCTCTGAAGCTTTTTGCTTTTCAGATCTTTGTGCAAAGTTTTAAAAGATGCAGGTCTAGGAAGCTGGGCCATCTCCTCACCTGGGAAAATGATTGCCCTACCTCAATCTCTGCAAGCCATTCATTAACGTATGCCTTCTATGCCAAGCAGCTACAGGCTCAATTCTAAAATAGCTTTTTCCCTTCTAATATTTGCTACACTTTGTATGCCAAAGGCAAGATCAAATGGAAATGCATGCAATGCACTTTGTTTCTCAAAGGTCATTCTGCAGCCTGTGACTCTTTCAATCAAGTCTGCATTGTTGCCAGAAAAAGGTTTCCCTCTTATAATTCTACCCTTTTATTTGATGCTATTAATATAAAAACACTTTATCAGGTCAAAAATGTGTGTTGAAGTTGCAAAAGCTTTTTCGCTTTGAGCTATGAATATTCTCTTTGAGAAATAAAAGTAAAACACAGCACTTTTAATATAAAGAAATACACCTTCTTGGATGCCACAAATAGGAGTAAATGAAGCTGCAATGGTATTGCATTTCTTACCTTTATTTGTCCTGGCACTTCTATCAAAGCAATGATTCTCAAAACTCAAAAGGCTGCCCTAGTGCTGTGAAATGCTAAAGGCACTCAAGTTCCCAACCTGACACCAGGGATCGTCTTGACCTTGAGGGAGAATAAAAGCCAAAGATGGTGTTAAGTCTAATCAAGTCTTTGACTGAAAGAAGAGGTATTGCAGGTTCCCACGGACTGTA